TTGCCCCAAATTACGTAAGAATGGGGTAAACACAGCCGTTTTATTTGCTCATGTGAGATGATTTGCAAATCGGGCGTTACTTTTGGTGGCTACTGTACGTACGTAATTTCCACCACATGCATAATTCCACTTGCGAGTGGTACATATTATATATGCGCCGTTTTATGAACTAAAGCTTGGACCCTGTCTATCTTTTATGTGGTAAAACACGGTTTAACATTTCGATATAGAAATAAGGCATGAACAACGGTGCTGGTACACTGTACGTAACGGTAAATAATGAATAATTTTCTAAAATTCCTTTATAACGTAATATCACCTCGATTACTATTATACTTCATATAGTCATCTGAAATTTGCGCACATTATACGTATATTTCCCTGCCATGGGAATATTCAATGCAGTTATATATTCTAACAATTAAGACTTTTTCGTATACTAAAAGTTTTAAAGTTGCTATTGATATTTCCGTCACCGCATTGTGACATGTAATTGCGCTAACTAGGTGCTTATTGTTCGTACGTATGTACGTACGTAAATGCGTAGTATTTTCTAGGTCAAAATTGAAAAAGCGACTTTGAATTTTTTTTTCCAGTTCAATGAATTTGTTTTAATATAGCGTGACCTTGGCAGAAACATAGCGATGACTATAGTTTAAAAAAAGCACTCTATATCGATCTACCTATAATATAAATAGATTTGGTTTGATTTACACCAACTAATCAGGAGATGGTTTCCAATTATGTAAAATTTTCCTATTGTTTTTTGCGCCAAATTTTTCGTACATTGGTTTTATAATTGGAATATAAGTGAAAAGAATAAGTATTATCCTAACGCAATCTTCCAACAATGTTCAAAAACCAAATTTTAATTTTTGATTCTAATGATGAAAGTAGCTTATTAATTACAGGAAGTGGTGGTGTTCAACAATCACGCCAGCGCTCTGGAAATATTTATAGGAAGAGCATATGTTGGGATTATTTCAAATTAATTGAAGTCCCGGGAAATGAAACAGTAGTAGAATGCACTATTGATGGATGCAATACGAAATACGTATGGCGCGGGTCCACTTCTAACCTTCTTGGTCATATTAAGAGAAAGCATCATGTAACAACAAAATCGGGAAATAGTAGAGTTCAACAATCACGCAGACGCTCTAAAAATAATTATAAGGAAAGTATATGTTGGAGATATTTTCGCCCAATTAGACCGAGTTATGGATCAGAAACAAAGTGTACTTTTGATGGATGCAATACGAAATACGTATGGCGCGGATCTACTTCTAACTTTCTTGATCATCTTAAGAGAAAGCATTTAACAGAATTAAAAATTAAACTTCCATTAATTAAATTCATTGTTCCCTCTGCATTACCTCTCAAAGTTATTAATAGTTTAAAATCTTCTGGTCTCATTAATCTACAAATTGAACTACCCCTCGAAGAACAGATAAATAAATTATATGAACATTTATCTGATCAGGTGAAATCAAAAATTCAGACAGCAAAATCTGTTATGCTCTCAATTTCCAATATTTATATTAGACGAATTCATATATCTAAGCTTGCAGTTACTTGTTGCTGGCTAACTGAAAACTTCGAATTTAATAAAATCTTGTTGTGTGTAAAAGAAACATTTAAAGATATTATCGAAGTTTTAGATCAGTGGAAATTAAAAAACTTGAAATTTATTATTAGCAATAAAGATTTTTATGATCAGCTAAAAGAAAAGTACCCAGATATTATCCATATAAGCACTAACGTAAGTGGAAGTGGTGATGACTTAATAGAAGACAGTTTAAGTAGATGGGCTAGAGAAAATATCAGTACCCAAGGAATTTCTGACATTGCCAAAGCTGTTGAAAACGCTACTTGGAATCTTAGCTATGTCGTAAGTGATTTGAAGGATAGAGGAATGCAAAGTAAAATGAATATAACAAATATAACAATTAATGATTGTACACGTAATTGTCACTATCATAAAATAGAATTTCTTTCATTAATAAGTCAACATTTTAAGCAATTATTTAATAATAATTATAATATTGATGATAACTTTATTAAAGCAAAAGTAGGTTATTTTAAAATTCTTTCATTAGATTATTTACCAGTTAGTATATTTGATAAATTAGTAGAATTATTCAACCCTTTGAAACATATCGATACCGTTACTGAGAGAAATATTATAGATCTATTAGTTAATGCTACTAGCATTTTAAGAAGGATCTCTCAATGTCAATTTCCTTTGAATTCTGAATACAAGACACTAGAATCATTTCTAAAATTTTTAATTCGTTCATATGAACATTTCTGCGTAAGTTCATTTTTAGATCCGCGTTCGAATCCAATAAATTCTCTTTCTGATGTAAGTTTTATTAAAATTTTAACATTATGATTAAAAATCACAATTAATGTAAATATGTTTCATACAATATATTAGGATGTGCTCGGAGAATTTGTGCTAGATAAATGCCAAGTCTATTATTCACATAATCCTAGTTCTTCTGGTAATAATTTAACATCTGAAGAATTTACACGATATATTAGTCGTTCACAATCTCAGTTTGATGAGAACTTTGATGTTTATAAATGGTGGCAAAATTCAAATCATGAATTTCCTGGTTTGGCTACTCTTGCAAGAGAATATTTGCTTTTGGTGTCAGATAAAGTTCAATTAAATAATCTTGAAAAATTTGTAGAAGTTTATAAAAATGTTGATATGGTAGAAAAAATAGCTTTTCTAGATTGTAACATGAAGTACATTAATCTCTGATAGCAAATTATTATTTATACATATGTATCAATATTTAAAGAATCAGATGAAATTAGTAGAAGAAAAATAATTCAGGTTCAGATTTATTTTTATACGAGTATGGTTTATCTGACACGAATGGATAGAACATTTAATTAGCAAATGATGCTTTAGGCTTTCGTGTAGGGATGGGTACGGCTGGCTACGGCTGGCTATCGGCTGGCTATTACCGGCTAGCCGCGGCTAAATAGCCGGCTATAGCCGATCAATTATTTAATTAATTATTTCATCAAATATCTAAACCAATTGTATGTTAGTTTAATAATTGTCGCGGCTTATGCTGATTTTGGCTCAGCAAAGGGCATTTTTCTTTGTTTTGAATTTGTTATGTTACACCAATTTTCGTCGATCATCACGTGATCTTCACATCGGCCAAAATCTTCCCCAGCATCGCCACCAAATTTTTTTCGATCACGTGAAAGATCCACCAATCAGAAATTTTCAGTTATCGCCAACAAATTTTTGCGCACACCCAATCAAATCTTTATTTTCGACAAAATTTTTCGCGGTTTTATCGTACACAATAACACAATACTGGTACGTACATCTTTTATATATTTTTTAGTTTTTCTAATCGCATTTAA